ACCATACTTCTCTAATGGCGCTATGCTTGGATAAGAAGAAAAAATGGTTGATATTTCTGCAAGAAATCTGCCACACACCCTACCCACTTCAAAATACCTAGAACATGAAGTGAGTTGTGAGTAGCAGTACATGGAGAATTACATTTTTTTTTCTGACAAGTGATAAGTGGTAGGATTTGATGTTTTAAGCTTATAATTTCTCTCCAGTTTTTGTTAAGTTTAAAATGTCCATGAATATGAACACAGGACTCAGAAATTACATACTAATGATAGCCCTCATGTTCTATTGCCTGGATTTTCTCACTTACATTTATCCAAAACATTTATTTACTGTGGGTTTGTCACTGATGATCTGAAGATAAATAAAATGCCACTTTCCTCATCAAGCTGTTCACAACTAGTAATTTCTCAAAGTACAGTCAGAATTACCTGGGAGAGTTGTGGGGGGAGGTGGTGGGAAGCCACCTCCCTGCAATTCTAAAGATCTGAAACAAGTTTTGAGTAATCCAGGAATATTCATTTTAATAGACTCCCTCACAAAGTCAGTGAGAGGCGTCATCATGTGAAAAACTTGGAAATGGCATTGTTGTTCCAAATTATCTGTGGAAAGGGATCCATTTCCTTGAAAAAAAAAATTCTAGTGCATAATGGACTAAACAAAATCAAGTGAAAGTGAATTTCTAAGGAAAAAGGCAATGAAGGGAATACATACAAAATCATATTCCCAACTTTTGTTATTAGATTCAATAGGCATAAACTCATTCTGTCAAAATGCTATACATTTTTTTTTAAAGTTTCTTCTTAAATTTTGTACCTATTTTGTCATACTAACCAAGGATTTGAAGACTGGCACTTTTCTGTAAACCAAACATTAAATAGCAACATCTCCAGGACAATAATAATTCTGTGTGATAACAGTAGGGTGGAAATCAAAGGAAAGGTGCTCATAGTTATTTATGTTTGGAAAATGGAGAATTATTTTTTCTGATAGTAAAACATCTTTAAAAATGTTTACTGTGCCAATTCTGTTTTCGTCTACATTTTGACATTGTGTCCAAAAGACAGGACACAAACAATTGTAGTGGAAGAAAAGTTTATTTAAGGCTCATGGTTTCAGAGGTCTTGGTCCATGGAGAGTTGACTCCACTGCTGTGGGCCTTTGGTGAGGCAGAATATCAGAGTGGAAGGAGGGAAGCAACTCAGAACATGAGAATCAGGAAGTAGAGAGGGAGAGCTTCACTCACCAGGAACAAAATATGACCCCAAAGGCACACCCCCAGAGATGTACTCCTCTATGATTAGTACCTAATTAATCCATTCAAGTGGATTAATGCACTGATCAGGTTAAAGTTCTCATAACCAAATCATTTTGCCTCTAAACTTTCTTGCCTTGTCTCACACATGAGTTTTGGGGAGACACCTCATATGTAAACCATAACAAATGTGTATGTGAATGCCAGAAAACCATATAGTATGTGGGTTTTCCAAAAGTTATCCAACCATCCACTTGTTAACAAGGACACTGGTTAGCAACCAGGGTTTAGGAAACCAGTGTTTACTTGAGCACAGATGTGGGAATCCTAATCTAGGTGAAGTTTCCTTGTTTTATAGTTGAGGAAACAGATGCACACAGATATCCGGTGATTTGACTTTTAACCAAACAAGTGTTATATTTGCTGGTTAACTAAATAGTTAATTAAATTTATTTACAATAAATTACACACATTTTTAATCATATTTACTATGTCAGGGACTCTACCAAGAGCCTTAACTTCCAAATTGTAGTAAGAAGCAAAATGGACTTAAAATACCTTATCATCTAACTCAAAAACCTTGGTTCTAGTTTCTCTGCAGACACACAACCTGTTTCTCTGTGTTCTTTATTTTATGTGCTCAGGTGTTCTTCCTAAGGTGTTGTTGTTGTTGTTGTTGTTGTTTACAATTGAGCAGATGCTATTTTCCTGGATGCTATTGGCCTCACCTTAGTCAACTTTGATGTGACTAATTAGTCATGCACTCCAGGAAAATGACTGGCAGGGGGTATTTTTTTTCATGCAAAGAATATTTGCATCATCTTTATTATAGGTCAGGCAGTGTTCTTAGCATTTTAGACATGCTTGTTGGTTTAAGCCTATATAAAAAATTAGATGTCAGTATTTATATCATGGTTTTAGAGAAACTGAAGCATAGCAAAAAGTGACTTGCCCGAAGTTACAGAGTTTATACCTGATAGACTTAGGATTCAAACTCAAATGAACTTACACCAGACTCCATGGTATATGCCAGGTTTAAGTGCCCATCCTTTCTATAAAAGCCAACATTATGCTGCCTTAAGGTAACCAGAAATAACCTAAATGAATGAAAATTATTCTAAAAATTCAGGGTGTTGATTGAAAGGGAAGGGATTCCAAATATTTGGAGAAATTCTTTTCTTTTTCACTGCAATTCTTATTGGTGAGAGATCATTTTCCTCAGGAAACATGATAGAGAAGCTTTTCAGAGACAGTAAAAACTACATGGACATATTATCTAAGAGGAAGTTGGCCCTTAATTATGATCACATTCAGAGTTCTTCATTGTTTTCTAGAAGTTGGACAAATTGGAGATTTTTAAAATACATGAAAGTGGTATTATCCATATACACAGGGATAAAAATTTTTAACAAAATTAGTTTAAAGCTTTTCTGCAGCTAATTTGTCATTCATTCATTAAAGACAATTTATTATGTGTCTAACATGTGCTATGAACCATTCAAAGTGCTAGAAATACCACATTGACTAAAATCATGTTCTCTGCCTCAATTTAAATCAGTCTACTGGGAGAGGAGGCTTTAAAGCACACAATTGAACACTAAACACATGTGTTGCATATGACCTCTTAGCTAGACTCTCATTTATCATGAGGCAAGATGTGACAGCATGTTCTTCAATGTAATAATATTTTGTTGTGTTTCCTCAAAAGCAACAGGACTTTTGAGTTTACAAATCACTACTGAGGTCTCTGTGTTCATTTTAGAAATGAGCAAAATGGGTACTCTGGAGTTTGTAACTTACCCAGACCACATGGTAAAAAGGAGGAATGGCCCTCAGGACAATAGATTCTAAATCAGTTGTTTTTTTTTCCTATTTCTCATCTCTGATATCATTTTCTTCATCTTATTGTACATTCAACCTCAATCTAATAGAAAATAGGTAATAACTTTTATTTATAATGAAAGAAAATATTTGATTTAGCTATACTTATTATAGGCCAGTTTAGTTTTCAGCATTATATCTTTTTTAAAATGATACATGAGTCATTTATTGTTACTTCATTGTTCATGGGATGGATTTTTTTATCTTTCAAATGTTCTACAAGCTCAAGATTAATTTTTAAAAACTTACCAAAAAAGTTAGAACATTTCAAATCAAGTCCCCTTTAACTTGAAGGGTTATTCATGGTCCCTTATATACCTTTCTAGATATAGCTATGGTGCCAGTTTAAGATGAGTCCTCCCAGATTATTTTGTATATGTTCAGCTACTTTTATCCTAAGTATACCTCTCTAACACTCACAGAAAAGATACTGTAGGTTTCTTAAGACCTGGGTATCATGCTAAAAGTATGTTACCTGCTTTCTTTGTGTCTTCATTGGTAGGGTAGCAGTTTGTTTTATTAGCAGTTTGTTTTATTAGGTCTGCCTTGGTTTCCTAATTGTTGCATAATATTTTTTAGTTTGTATATGACAGTCCAAACAATCCCCTATTACCAATAGCACTTCAATGTGTATCATTGTAGGCCGTTTTTATGCACTTAGAGAAATTTTCCAAGGAGTCACTGTAAACTCAACAGGAACAGGGCAGTGGTATTTGTAACAAGAAGTCAGAACCTAAGCACTGGCTATCAAGGCAAAAATTACCTGCCACAAAATGTTAACATTTACTTTCTTAGGTCATCTTCATGGAGGTAGCCTACAATGCTAGATTTGTAGCAAAAGTAAAAGAAATTGACACTGAGGCTTTTCAAGGTGCAACTTTTAGCTTAAGATCACAGAGGGGCATAGAAATTGCAGCAAAATGCTGGGGGTGACATGAGAAGAATATGTCAGGCAGAGAAAACTGCAGATGGAAACATTTACAAGAAAGAGCTTTATGTTAGTTTGAGTAGAAGTAGTTTAGTAGGACTAGAGTGTAAATATTCAGCTACAGAATGAAATAGGAGTAATATGAAAATTTTTACTAATGCATAGTCTTTATCTGAGTTTAATGACATCAACCATTTTTTTTTCATTTTGTAGTAACCCACACATATTTTATATTATATTCCATTGCATATTATCCTTGGTCATTTATTCAACATTTAACAAATATTTATTGAGCTATGACTTAGTGAAATATAATGTCTTAGATGTTAAGTTTAAATTTCACTAGATAGGAAAAGACATATACCAAATTACATAAAATCTTTTTCATTAACACAATTGGAAATTAAAGGTAGCAAGAAAAAGAAGATAGTGCAAAGTGATATCAGGGCCAAATTCAAAGAAAAAACATATTTTCCACTAAGCAAATTGAAATTTTTACAGTGGTTTGCTTAAATATATTGGTGATATTCCCGAAATAGGATCATTGTTAGGCAGGAAAAACTAACCTATAGCTTTATAAACTGAGAAATTTGAATAGGATTTTATTTTTTTTTTTTGCATTAGAATCTTTACAGTTACCCAGTTAATTCCATTATCTCATGTGACAATTTAGATCCCAGGCATCAAATTATTTAAGTAATTTGAATATGTATTTTATCACATTTATTTCTATTCTTCTTTCTCCCCCTTATCTTTGAAGGATATCTCATTATTTCATGTCTTAGTGATTGTTGAATTTACATTTGGTCACATAAAATATGAAACAATTCTATCACAACAGCCACTTCAGTAATCAAGATGAAAATATGATGATGGAATGTTAAAATATTGTCTCATTTGAAATAAATGTAATTTCAAATACATGCCATCTACTGCAGATTGTTTCCAGACACCCAGTTGGATACCAGTTGGAAAGCATGGGGACTCTCCCGGGAAGTATGATGATGCAGAATGTCAGAGAAAAAGTGGCTGTGCAAGAATAAGCAGAAGAAAAGCTTGATGAATTTGAGCTTTGACTTTGTTGAATATTGTATTGGAGACATAGAATGTACCTAGACACATCAAGGCAATTCGTTTACTCATTCTGTAAGAGCCGACTTGGTTCCTGGAACTCTTCTAAGTACTAGAGACTCATCACTGACTGGAACAAAGATGGCCTAATTTCATTTAGATATTAGGCACTTGTTATTTTCATCAATTAAGAAAAAAAATCTAATGAAAGAAAAGAAGATTTATACATAGTATAAAAACAAGTGGTTTTAGAGTGTTTATTTTGTGACAAATATAGCAGGTGTTATAAGTTCCTTTTATATTTGTGAAATGATCATTGGTCATTCTCTGGACTCCTTTCTGTGTTATACTCTCTTTCTGTGGAGGGTAAACAACCAGATCTCGAGCTCCATGGAAATGGATGACATTTGCCTTATTGACAGTTACTATTTACACATAATACATTGCAGCTTACGTGTATTCCATTTTAATTGTCATGCTCTGGATTATACTTTAAACTGTGTTTGGATTAGGTTTGTGATTTTGTTTTATTTATTCCTTCATTTTTAAATGTATACTTTTAAGGCTTTGCATATAATAAATTTTCATGGTCATTTCCTTCTCAATAGACATAACACTATCTATGGTTTTCAATGTTATAGTTCCTTTTAATAAAACTGGGAATTTTGTTTTGATGAGCTTTGGATTTTAACCTTATTTTTTTGTCATTAATGAAAGACTAAAATATCTTACTACAACTTTTTAACAAATTTGAGTAGAGACTTCAGGCTTGGCTTGTGACCTACCACATTTTTCTCCATGGGGTTTTTATTAGAGAGCTCATTTCACTTCAAACTTAACATGATGGAGAAAAAGAACCACAAGGAGAGAGGGGATTAGTAGGAAGCTTAAGGGAAAGAAAGGTGGCCAGACCCTTCAAGCATAAAATCAAATTTGAAACACTTGAAACTCCTAAGAGGATAGGAAGCTAGATATGGGTCTGGTCTAGGGTTGCATTAAAAAAAAAAAAAAAGATACAATCTGCAAGAAATTCTAAGGGGAAAAATAATGTCATGGGATAAGGGAAAATGAACTACTCCCGAATAGCACAATGTAGTCGAAAAGTTGTAGGGAAAGAGGTCTCTAAATAAATTACCATTGTTTCTCTTTCTGCTTCTCTCTTTCTCTCTCTATCCCCACCCCCAAACACAAACATTTTCAATAGTTAATGATGTTGTTTGTTGAATTTCCCCCACCTTCTCCCCTATCCCCATCCTATCTTTTAAAAATTCCTATAATAGAAATAGCTGAGTAGAATCTCAATGTTGTTTTTTTTTTCTTTACATAGTATTAAGCATCCAGTGGTAAAGCATTAAGCATCTATCTTGGAGAGAGTAAGATCTGAGATAATATACTGAGATATTTCCTTATTTTTATCATAAAATGGATCTATCAGAATTCCAGGATGAATCTGTGAATGGTAATCAGAGATTCTTGGGACAAGTGAGGATATGTGTCAATAGCACTGCAGACTTCTCCCCAGGGTAGTAAAAATCTAAGGTGCGTTCGTTATATTGAAAAATCAGAGAAATAAGAGAAACAAAAGTACATTGAACAGTAAATGTATTTAATTCAGTTCCATTTTTCCCCTGAGGGAAAGCAACTAACTATGTGCTTTCAAATGAGGAAAGGGTCCTAGAATTGTTAAGGCCCTGTTTATTGCTAGACCTTGGGCCACATGTTTTATCCATATTTTCAGTATAATCATAGCAAGAAATTATAGACCTCCACAGCAAGAAGTTAGAGGTCTATTGCTATGGGTACCAGGCATTCTTTTAAGCACTTTACATGTTTTAACTGATTGTGGTAGGTATATTAATACTCTTTCTCATTTTACAGGTGGGAAAACTGAGGCAGAGGGAGTTTTAATAATTGTCTGAGGTAACTAAGCCAGTAAGTAGTAGTGCTGGGATTTGAACATAGGGTAATAAGAAAAACTGCCTCTTGTCTTATTTAAAAGGTAGGTCTTCATGGTCGGCTGCAGAATGATGTAAAGCATATTTAATTGAGAAATAACGCCAAAGCCCTTTGATACATTGCCAATGAAAATAAAAGTAGCCTAAAGGAATGTGAAAATTCCCCTCAAAAAGAATTTTCTAAAGCAAGTCTGACATTCCCTGTTGGTAATAAATAGTTCCTTGTGAGTTTTGAACGTACAACTTGTATCCTGATAGTGTTTGTGTGTGTGTGTGTGTGTGTGTGTGTGTGAGTGTGCGCGCACACGCCCTAATGTATGAACTATGTTGTTCTTCAGCAGAGCTTTCAGTGTTCCCTGCTGCCACCAACACAGGAAAACATTAAAAAGTTAAAATAATGCATTTCAGGAAGGAAACATTGTAGAGTGGAGTCAATAAGACTGAGGTTTTAATCCAGTGAGATCATTCACTATCTACAAAATTTGGTTAAATTACTTAACTTTTTTTTTAACTTTTACTTATATATGGACACAATACCTTTATTTTGTTTGTTTATTTTTTTGTGTGTTGTGTTGAGGATTGAGCCCAGTGCCTCAAAAATGGTAGGGAGAGCAAGCAGCTCTAGCACGAAGCCACAACCCCAGCACCTGAATTACTTTAATTTTCTAAGCCTTGATAGTCTTGCCCCTTTAAAGAAGTATGATATGTACCTATTTATTTTTTAAAATAATTTTATTTCGCATCTTTGTCAAACACTCTTTTTTCTGGGGTCGGGGAGCATGCTAGGAATTGAACCCAGGGCCTTGTGCATGTTAGGCAAGCACTCTACCAATTGAGCTATATATACCCCCAACCCCTGATACTTACCTTTTAAGAGATGTCATGAAATAGTTAGTGAGGTAATATATCTACAGTTCCTGACACAAAACAGAGACTGAATATATGTTACATTAATTCTCTGTTATTTTCTGTGTCTTGTAACTGCTCCATAATTCATATATATACCCCCAAAGACATTCTCAATTAAAAATATAAAGTATTCTAATGGTATATTTCTGTAAATTATATCCCACCATTCTTTCCATGTCTCTTATCCATTTCATTGAGTAGTAGCTTTCCTTGAAGGCTACTATGAAAGAGAAGAGAGAAAGGATACTTAATTTATTTTTCTTTGATTGACATTTTAAGATTTATAGAAAACTGACATCTCCAAAGACCAAAGTGGAAATTCTAAAAAGGTTACAACCATTAGCTAATGTAGGCTTGGGTTTTTTCCTATAGATTTATTTGTACCACCCCTACCCTCTCCAACCACAATAAATAAGAAATGATTGAGGTTATGTCTACTAGGACAAGTAGATATATTTTGTTGGGCAGCTTGATGATGAGCCAGGAAGACCTTGCATGGAAGCTGAACACGTTTATGGGTATTTGGTTATTTTTTTGACCATGATAAGGAAAACTGATGGAGCCACTGCTTTCCTGTAAGAGAGTTATTCTAGGCTACAGTGAGTTTATAATTAATCAGTTGACATTGGATGAATGATAACCTTTGTTTTTAACATTTGACTTATAGGGCATATTTCCATCTCATCAGATTACCTGTTTTGAATGTTATAATTTTTATTATGAACCTATGTGGTTTTTGGGTTAACCAGTAATTTATACAATCAACTCTCATTTTCTCAGAAGCCAATTATTCAGTCTAATAATTACTCAGGCTATTTGGTTTTAATTTCTCCCCTTACTTGCCCTTTATTGGCCACTCATCAGCAGTTCTACCTCAGAGAACAGGGAGGAGGTAAGGGCTTAGCTGAGTCTCTTATTAGGTGGTTAGATTTCAGGGTTTGAAAAGGTCGAACATTAGAAAAGCCAAATATAAGACTAAAAGGGTATTGGGTTTTTAGTGGAGCTTATATTTCTATTTCAGTACTGAAAATAATATGCAATATTTTTGCTCTTAGTATTTAAAGCCAAATTCACAGTTATGGCAACCAAAAAACTGATTGACTGGGTGTATTTGTGTGTCTGTGAGAATATATATTTGTCAGCACTTTATCTCCTGTATTGAATCCTTACAACATTGAAGCTGCATCATTACAATGTCACTTATCATGGATATGTTATTTGTAAACATGGCTCATGTGCACACCTTTGGCAGGGAAATTTTATCTTCATTCCTTCATCTCCATTGCCTAGAATTTTCTCTACAGTCTTTAGAACAGAACAGCACTACTGAATGAGTAAATGAATGAATGATGAATAGATTTTAAGGAACACAATTAGAGCACAACTTAAACAGTTCTTCCTATCACATAGGAGAGTTCATATTTTTGGTCAATCTACCAAACAATTTAAAAGTTGACCTGGTGATATGTTGATGCCAACTTTAGTCCTGGAAGACACACCTGCCAAGTTGAACCCCCCCACAAAAGTGCTCTGTGCAATTCAACAATGCCAATGCATGCTATCTGTTAATGTTGGCTCCTTGTGCACCGTCTTGGTATTAAAAGGAGGCAGACAAAGAATCCATCAAAAGACTGGAGACAGGTTTGATATATGCAGTTCATTGCTCATCTTGCAACATCACTGCCAGTCATGTCCTTACAGCTGTGGGGGATTTTGTTCATTTTCTAGCTCCTACAAGTTTAATACATAAGGTTTCATAATCTGACTGTCAAAAACTTCTCAGGGTGAGTACTGTACCTTGGAAAGATTGGCATGGCATGTCCAGGGACACCGTAAGTGATGTACAAGAAACAGCAGGCAGGCCTTCTTTTTGCAGCTTTCTGCTGTTCCTCTGTGTATCAGGCTCAGGGAGTTTATCTATTCTAGCTTCAGACCCAGTTTTTGGTGCAGGTCCTTTTAAACTGTGATCTGATTCTGGCTTTCCCTCTACCTGTTAAGTTATTTGAAAGTAAAGAAAAGGAGGTTTGCTAAAGAAGACCAACAATAAACCACAAACAAACAAAAAACTGAAGTGCTATCAACTTCATTCTGCATAAGTGTATTTCACAGTTTACAATTAAGGTTGGCCAGAACCTACACACACACTCAAACACACCCATATATTTATATTAATTTTTGTACATTTATGGAAACTGTGTCTTCCACCAGCACATTGAGTCAACATAGAGAAATGCAGCTGCTTCACCATAACATCTTCACTAAGAAGCCAGACTGATGATAATTCTGATTATATGTCCCAGGGGAGTGGCTTGAGAATGGGGTTCAGGTTCATGGTTCTTCATCACTGGAGATTTGGGGCCTTCCTCACATGACTATGGACAGTAAGGTACCAAGGAAGAGGATAAGACCAATTCCCATGCTTGCTGGAGGAAGCCAAGTCTTCTGTCTCCTTTCCCACCTGTGGCTCTGCCCTCCCTGAATCAGCACTTAGTACTGGAACAGCTTTGGAACTAGGACGGCACCAGCGCGATAACAAATACTGCCTCATTTCAGTATGATGAATGACGAGTTTTAATGAAACTGGCCCAAACTGCTCTGGCAAGCTGCCTTATTTTTGTGTTTTAAATGGGAGTGATCCATCAGCTGCACGCATCCTCTGTCTCTGCAGCCTCCCTGATGCGCCTGCCTTGCCCATCTTCCTCACTGAGCTCTCCCTCTGCTCCTCTGACTTCCTTGTTCTAGTGGTCTTCTGGGCTTGACAGTGGGGTGGCAATCTGATCCCAAGCACCCTCTCCTTCATATCCCCAATCTCT